TAATAATAATAATAATAATAAGTGGTCTTATATAGCGCGGTACCCCGGCCTAGGGCTGGGCTCACCGCGCTGTACATAAATATAGCAAAGAGGCATAATCATAATATTAAAATAAAATACATAAATGAAATAAAAACAACATATAACTAAAACAACACCATAGGTATATTCATCCACCCACACCAGACATTTTGACAAGGAAACCCATGTACGTTTATCGGTTTATAGGAGGAGAATCAGTCAGAGTAGTATAGTTTAAATAGATGTGTTTTGAGTGCAGTTTTGAAGGCCTGTGTGGTTGTTATATTGCGGATGTGTAGTGGCAAAGAATTCCATTGTTTGGGGGCGCCTCGCCTTATCAACTCACCTAGTTATCAACTCCACTTAGTTATCAACTCTACTTAGTTATCAACTCCACTTAGTTATCGACTCCACTTAGTTATCGACTCCACTTAGTTATCGACTCCATCGAGAGATATACAATGGGGAATTTGATATTTGTTCAATCAGTTGTCATAGTTAGCAGATTTTACGAGAACAATTCTTTTGTTGGTATTGTTGCTTCGACACACATCCAGATTTGAATGGCAAGAAATATTTTTTTTCTACTCTACTTGCATCACTCTTTCTCTCTGTCTTCCTCCCTCCCTCTTTCTCCCTCTTTTTCTCTCTCCCTCTCTCTCTCTCTCTCTCTCTTCCTCCCTCTCTCTCTCTCTGTCTCTTTTTCTCTCTCCCTCTCTCTCTCTCTCTCTCTCTCTCTCTCTCTCTCTCTCTCTCCCTTCCACACTGCTCTCCCCTCTTGGTCTTTTTTCTGTACTATATATCTCTCTCTCTCTCTCTCTCTCTCTCTCTCTCTCTCTCTCTCTCTCTCTCTCTCTCTCTCTCTCTCTCTCTTTTTCTCTCTCTCTCTCTCTCTCTCTCTCTCTCTCTCTCTCTCTCTCTCTCTCTCTACGGCACATGGAAATCACTTCGTGGTCTTTTGTAGGTAGGATATTTTTATGAGCAACAGGAATGATGAAATAACCTTTCATTTTCTTCTTTTTTATAATTTGACAAGCATCGTACCTTATACCTGTTGTTTAAAAAGGAAATATTTTTTAATCCAAGAAAATATTTCAACAAATTTCTCCTTAAGAATGCGACAGGTATAAGGAAGGATTTTAAAAAAATAATAAAGTTGGAAAAAAATGGAATATGTTGTCAAAATATATATACATACACATGCACAAACTCTACTTCTCGTAATAAAATAAAAAACAAAATATGAGAATTGAGTTTACATCGCATACCATAAGATTGCATGCACAGGGCATACAATATAGTTGCATGCACAGGGCATACCATATAGTTGCATGCACAGGGCATACCATATAGTTGCATGCCAAGGGCATACCATATAGTTGCATGCCCAGGGCATACCATATAGTTGCATGCCCAGGGCATACGATATAGTTGCATACCCAGGGCATACGATATAGTTGCATGCCCAGGGCATACCATATAGTTGCATGCCCAGGGCATACCATATAGTTGCTTGCACAGGGCCTTGAACTTTATAGAAATGGTGCCATCATGAAGACGCCCTTCAATCTAATCAACATTCAACATAATAAGGGGAGAGAAAACGGCTTGAATACCAAGACAGTGAAATATGACATCATACCCGGACAGCGAAAGAGGACCCCATAACAGGACAGCGAAAGAGGACGCCATACCCAGACAGCGAGAAATGACGTCCTACCCAGGCCGTGAAACATGATGTCATACCCAGACAGCAAGAGATGAAGTCATACCCGGACAGCAAAAGATGACGCCAAACGTGAAGTTCATGAATATTAAATAACGGATATTTTAAAAACATGAAAAGGCACGTTGCTCATATATTTCTTCGGAATTTGTTTTTGCTACGAACTAGGTCTAACACCGCCTCCAATGATTTTAAAAAGTATACAGTGAACCCTTTTTTCTTTCCCTACCTAATGCGCTACATTTCTATTTCTGAGAGAACGAATACAATCAGCATTATATTTTGAACAACCTGATCTAGCTTTCTATCAACCCAAATGGAACGCTATGAACAATGCCCGACCCGATGCAATGGGATGGCCCCACAGACTCAGGCTTTGTGGAGCGTAGGCGAGTTTGTCTTTGGCCGGCCATTGAGCAGATGGGACAGAAAAAATGGTTGATCCCCGTCGGTGTAATCTTTCAATAGCCTCCGTGAAATAAGGTCTGGTGGATTAAGAGGGAAAACTATTTACAAGCAGATCGCAATTTGATAAAAGCAGAGCAATTTCGTTGACGAGTTGCGGAGTTATTTTATTTATTTTTTTTGGTTAGGGTTGAACGATGTGAGATGGTTGATAAGGTTGGTTTGGTATCCAAGACAATGGGGGCTGGTTGATGGGTTGATGGGGTAAAGTTTGGGGTCCGAAGTTGGGTAGGAGGCATAGACTGGACACAATGAGAAGGATGTGTGAAGGGTTATAGATGGAGAGTCAAGACAACATTATTTGTTTAATATGTCTGGTGAGTTGGCGAGTAAGGTATGTTCTGTCGACATGGACAGATGTAAAGGAGGTTGATTGTTTGTTGTCACCAAGAATTCAGTTGAAGAACACACGAGCACAAGAAGTTATAGAAGAATTTTAAATTAATTTTAATTCAATAAAACTTACTAGAAATAGAAAAATAGATACCGACACACATTGCACTGGGAAATGATGGTGACACAAAAATGCAAACATTTTTTATGTATTTTACGGTAAATAAACTGTTAGTATTTAGTTAAAAATAAGTTTATCAAAGAAAATATTCTATTTACTTTACATTTCATTTAATACATTTATTTATCTTTAATTTCAATTTTTCTTACCCTGTTAAACTGTTGGTCATTAAAAAACAAGTTCTTGAGACCGTTCAGTATTCCAATCCGATTCTCTGACCACTGTCATTACTATTTGTAGATTGTATCTTTCCCACTTCTCTTTCTCTTTATCTCATTTAATTAATATTATGTTTTTGTTATTGTTTTTGAAGGCTGCTTAGTCAATACGCCCGGTGTTATGTGGTATATATGTGGTATATTATGTGGTATATTGTGTGGTATATTGTGTGGTATATTATGTGTTATATTGTGTGGTATAATGTGTTTTATATTGTGTGGTATATTGTGTGGTATATTGGGTTTTATATTGTGTGGTGTATTCCAAATACTTAATTAAATGGTGTGCGTCAATGCCATAATAAAGAATTTAGTCTAGTGTTATATTCATTTTAGACCATTCCTTCAAGTTACATACTTTGTTTCCCCAGGAATCATGTCCCTGTCCGACAGTGGTAAAGATCAAGAGTTGCCCCATCACCCACCATGCTCGTCCAAGAATACACAAGTAGTTGCCCCCTTCACCTTCTTACAAGACATTTCGTTGTCAGCCCATTTGGATGATCTCAGAACATCGACATATTCTCTGGCTCCTGCGACCAAACCGTTCCAGCCGCACCCACTTCGCATCGTGAGTTCACATTCGCCCAAAGTCTTGCCACGGACGGGAAAGTTCAATCAGCCACCATCACCGCCAAACACATTTACAAAGGATGTACAAGGAAGCGCCGATAGGAAAGTGTCACGCTTGAAGTCTCAGATCCCACACGAAGGTCAAGGTTTTACTGCTCACCCATCACGTCATAGACAGGATCCCTTACCCAGACTTCCTGATCCTTATCTGATATTCTTGCTGGAGGCCGCGCGTAACTCAGGGGTGGGCAATCAAAGTGGGATAACTTTGGCTGAATCAGTCACGACAACCGACCGTAACGAAGAACTTTTGAAGACAAAAGACCCACGTCCGTCCTCAACATCTGATTGCCACGGTGGGGGTGAGGGTAAAAAAAAACAACCTGTCATAAGGGTCACAACAGGCGATCAACAACAATCCAAGACCGACAGCATTGTAAACAAATTTTCGTTTCCCATCCTACCAAATGCAGCTAATCACCAGGATCAAAAAAGGATCACCCAAAATTTAGAAGCAAACTTCGACGAAAAGAACGTCACGGAAGATCAAGAAAGAAGTTTACCTCTGAGTGTACGCTCCTATTCATTTGAGTCTGGTTCGTTCAACAGACCCAAATCGAAATTCTTGAAGCGCTCGGGGAGCCATAGCGATATATCCGGTACCACCACTCCCAAAGCCATGTGCTCCGACATCAAACTTAAAACCGTCAGCTCCAAACTTGGCTCCGCCAGCAATGTCATAGACTGTGACGCCAGAAATATCATAGACTGTGACGACGAGACAAAAGACATCGCCAGCTGTAGCAGGAGCGTCAAACTCCGGGTCGTGTTCAGGGCTCAGTGTGAGAGCACCTTGCCCCACGATATCTGGCACTCTGAGATGTATCAGACCTTCCAAGGATGGGCCATAAAAAATTATGGAGACTCCGGCAAGACGAAGACGGTCACCCGCAATAAGTACCACAGGATCGTCCGAATACTTACAGGAGAGGAACAGTTTTCAGCGGAGAACTCAAAGTTTAGGTTCTGGGTCAAGGCTAAAGGCTTTCGTCTGTCTTCGGACGAGGAAGGATTCGGTCCCATGGTGAAGCCTGGAGAGCGGTCCCTGTTGGTGCCTGCTAAACACATGGTAAGTGATACTTTGAAATATCTCATTGATTTGACATGATGCATGGATCTTCATGCAAGTCATATCCGAGTTTAAATTTTGTTCGAAGCACAACTTGGAGACTAATGTTCAAAAATATTTTTATTTAAACTAACACTTTGGTTGAATTAGGCTCTGCATAAAATGTAACAAGTGGAACATAAGTCCACCTACCATTCCCCCCCCCCCTTACACACACACACACACGTTTTTGTCCTTTTCCTGTAAGGGCCACCAATATCCGAATTTAAAAAAAAAACTATTGATTAAATTACTCACATAAATATATGTCCTTTAGGTGAACTTTGAAAATCAACTTGTTCGAACCGTCCTAAATGAGAACCTCTGAATAGATCATGTAAAATAGTTGATGACATGCTATTAATAAAAGTGGTCAGAGAGTACAGCTTTTTGATGCTGTTTAAAAAAAGGATTTTAAATGAAAATTTGATGATGTAATGTGATGACGTCACTGCCACTTAATGAAAAATGAAACATAAACACATTCGGGGGGTGGGCGTAGGAAAAGGATGCTGGGGTGAGGGGGGGAAGAGGTGTCTTGATAAAAATGTTTAAAATTTTGTTCTAACCTGTTTGCAGTCTCTCCCCCACCATATTTTTTTTTTCTGACCTGTTTGCATTCTCTCCCCCAACATAAAATTGTGTTCTAACCTGTCTGCAGTCTCTCCCCACCATAAAAATTGGCAAATAAAAAGCAGACTTATAGTTAAAATAAATAAATAAACGTTTTAATTTAATTTTTTTTTTTGTAAGTTAAGAGTAGTAAATTATTCTCTTCACCAATAAAAGTTAGTGAAATAGTGAGACAAGTGAAACTTGTCACCACCGATATATTTGATGTCGTTCACAATAGGTCTATGTATTTGATATGTCGTTCACATTAGGTCTATGTATTTGATATGTATGTCATTCACATTAGGTCTACGTATTTGATATGTACGTCATTTCCATTAGGTCTACGTAATTCACATGTATGTCATTCACATTAGGTCTACGTATTTGATATGTATGTCATTCCCATTAGGCCTACGTATTTGATATGTATGTCATTCACATTAGGCCTATGTATTTGATGTGTATTCTAACATGCCGATTTTAGGCTACACCAACAGTTTAAAATGACAGTAGGCCAAATTGTGCGCCTTTACCTGGAGTAACGGGGAACTAAACTACACTTCCATCGCTATAAAGGCGCTATAAAGGCGCTATAAAGGCGCTATAAAGGCGCTATAAAGGCGCTATAAAGGCGCTATAAAGGCGCTATAAAGGTGTATACTATGATATTTTGAAATTGATTTGCCAAGTATCAAACATTGGCAAGGTCCATGTATGGAGGGTTTGTGGGAAGGGGGGTGGGGGGGTTGGCAATGAGGGATGATAGACGCCGCTGGTTTACTAAATAGATAGTGTCAATGACTTTGAACATCGCATGGTATGCCTGCTTTACAGGTCTTTTAACTTAGTGTAGATGTTGCTCTACTACTTGTCTTGTATGTCAGAGTATCACTTGTCACAGTCGGCACATTCGGCAGAGTTGTCTCAGTTGGCACAGTTGTCACAGGCTGCCACAGGTGTCGCTGTTGGCACTGTGGGCACAGTTGTTTGCACAGTGGTTGGCACAGTTATTGGTACAGTTGGCACAGTTTGTGCACACTTAACATTGAACTAATTTATCTCATACATCCTCCTGTCCCTATTATAAATCTCTAAACTCAAATGACTAGGTAAAAGCGTCGTTATATAATGGACATATTTCAACAAGCGAGCTACATGGAGTTATCAACTTTTGTCTATAGCTACATACAAGAGTCGGTTTGAACAATAAGCTAACTGACTTGTTGATTTGTATGTTTTAAACTAGTGTGCTACATGGAGCCATCAACTTTTGTCTATAGCTACATACAAGAGTCGGTTTGAACAATAAGCTAACTGACTTGTTGATTTGTATGTTTTAAACTAGTGTGCTACATGGAGCCATCAACTTTTGTCTATAGCTACATACAAGAGTCGGTTTGAACAATCACCTAACTGACTTGTTGATTTGTATGTTTTAAACAAATGTGCTACATGGAGCTATCAACTGTTACATAAAGCTACATACAAGGGTCGGTTCAACATCATCTAACTAACTTGTTGATGTGTATATTTTAAACAAATCTGCTACATGGAGCTATCAACTGTTGCATATAGCTACATACAAGGATCAGTTTAAACAACCAAAATGACTTGTTGATTTGTATGTTCTAAATCGATAACCTTGTCATCTCTAAGTTCTTTTAGAGGTCACCAGCAACTTGTAGCATCCTTAGCGGGCAATATGAGAAGTGAATTCAAATGAAATGACTTACAATGAATATAAATTATCAGCTTATTTTAATCCTGTATATATTGCCGCCAAAACATATTGCCACTAAAACATATTTCCACCAAAACATGTTGCCACCAAAACATATTGCCACCAAAACATATTGCCACCAAAACATATTGCCACCAAAACATATTGCCACCAAAACATATTGCCACCAAAACATATTCCCACCAAAACATGTTGCCACCAAAACATATTGCCACCAAAACATATTGCCACCAAAACATATTGCCACCAAAACATATTGCCACTTTTCGGCCCCATTAGAAGCACCTGTCTACAAAATAGTCGGATATTTAAAAATGTAAAAATAATTACTATTTAGCGCGTTGCCAACTTCTCTACACACAAAAAAGTCGAGAAAAAAAGGGAGGGGGGGAGAGGGGGAAGAAAACCTTCCCTGTTAAGTGTCAGAACAGAAGGTTGGGTATTCTTGAAGAGGAATGAATTTTAAAAAAGCCTCAGTCACGGAAGTCAGAATATAACAGCCAAATAAAGAAGAGAATAATCTTCGGTTTCCTAAGTATTTCCAACTACCCCCTCCCCCCACACCACACACACACGCACGTACACACACACTCACACACATACACACTGCACCAAAAAAAAAATAGAAAAATAATAAATACAAAAATAATAATTAAACAAATTAATGTTCTTTGACCAGCAATTAAAAAAAAAACAAAATATTATTTTACTGTAACATTAACTTTGAAATTGTTTGTTAGTATACTAACGAACTCACTTACACTGCATACGAATGGTTAGTTTCATATTTATACCATACTTTGATGCGATGAATTCTATACTCATCCAGAAAGTCTGCACTACGACATATATATTATCGTTGAATGAAAAAAAAAATGAAAAAAACAAAAAACATTGGCATTGTCATCTGATCACTCACCCAATACAAATAATCCATATCCTTGTCATCTGATCACTCACCCAATACAAATAATCCATATCCATGTCATCTGATCACTCACCCAATACAAATAATCCATATCCTTGTCATCTGATCACTCACCCAATACAAATAATCCATATCCATGTCATCTGATCACTCACCCAATACAAATAATCCATATCCTTGTCATCTGATCACTCACCCAATACAAATAATCCATATCCATGTCATCTGATCACTCACCCAATACAAATAATCCATATCCTTGTCATCTGATCACTCACCCAATACAAATAATCCATATCCATGTCATCTGATCACTCACCCAATACAAATAATCCATATCCATGTCATCTGATCACTCACCCAATACAAATAATCCATATCCTTGTCATCTGATCACTCACCCAATACAAATAATCCATAAACATGTCATCTGATCACTCACCCAATACAAATAATCCATATCCTTGTCATCTGATCACTCACCCAATACAAATAATCCATATCCTTGTCATCTGATCACTCACCCAATACAAATAATCCATATCCATGTCATCTGATCACTCACCCAATACAAATAATCCATATCCATGTCATCTGATCACTCACCCAATACAAATAATCCATATCCATGTCATCTGATCACTCACCCAATACTTACTGCTGAAATTCGCGTCATCTGACATCATTATAATGGGTTTTATTCCAAAGCCACGTCATTTTATCATTGATACGACTGTCGATCTCACCGACACATGACGTAAGGCGTCCCTAAGTACCACCGTTCAGCTCTTTACAACTAGTAACTTCATTTCTGAACATCATCCTATAATGTATCTGAACATCATCCTATAACGTATCTGAACATCATCCTATAATGTATCTGAACATCATCCTATAATGTATCTTAACATCATCCTATAATGTGTCTGAACATCATCCTATAATGTATCTGAACATCATCCTATAATGTATCTTAACATCATCCTATAATGTATTTGAACATCATCCTATAATGTATCTGAACAAGAACTTCACCAGAATCCTGAATATTTTCTTTGTTTTTTTTTTCCCTTCATCTCCACATCTAATCTTGTGACCCTACTCCAAGTGACTTAATATCCCGAGATCACCTGGACAAGAACGAGACAGCTACATACCACGCCACACAACGGTCAAATAGTTTAGACATTTTCACTGCCTTTGCCAGTAGGAAAGATAACTCAGCGCGTCGGCAACAAGGGGAAACAAATCGATGGTCAGTCCTATTAATAACCTTTGTCCGAGTGATGAGTATGAAAGCGAAGTAATTTTACCCTGGCATTAAGCAATTATGACTTTGGGATTAGCATTGCTTTCATGGCGGCGTTTCTTTCATTAAGAAAAAAAAATCAGTTCACTTGCTCGTGTAAGAACTTCCAATGATGCAGGTCTCAGTCTAGAGCAGCGGCTCTCAACCCGTGTGGTCGCGACCCCTTTGGGCGTCGAACGACCTTTACACAGGGGTCGCTTAAGACCATCGAAAAACACATTGTCACATTTCTGAAGAGGCAACTAAAATAAGTTGATGGCTAAGGGGTCCTCACATCATGCGGGACTGTGTCAAAGGTGTCGCGTCTT